GCATTATAGATCCTTTTGCTCTCTTCCGATATACACGGCCACTAATAAATAATTTTATAGCTATATCGTGGCTTTTATATCTTTATATCTACACTGCGCATTCTCTCGGCGTTTCAGGCCCGTTTCTACCAATGCGGATTAACTTTAATCTTGATTAACTTACGTTCTGTCTTTTTCTAATTTTAACCCTTACCGTACTAATATGGGTAACTAGTGACCGAGCGATTCCTATTCGTGCAAGTTTCTTTGAGTCTTTCGCGGTAATTATAAATTATACTACATTTTATTTATTTTCGAAAATAAAGAGTCAATATTTATTCTAGAAAGTTGAAAGTATGTTAGTGAATTTTTAGAGATTTTTTTAATTATTTTGAAGAGGCGAAAAAACGAAGAGATTTGAAGTGACCCTTGATGGTATGGATAAGGCACCAAATTGTAGATAGTACGGTAAGAGTTAAGAACTAGAAGAGGATAAAAAGTAAATTAAATCGAGATTAAAGTTAATCTACGTTGAAATAGATATTAAGCTGATCAAGCAGCTATGTAATGTTTGCTGGGAGAGGTTGCATAATCAGATCTTTTTTTTTTTTTAGTTACGATTTCGGTAATTTCGTGAAAACTGGAAAAGTGCGATTACATAACAGTTCGCGCAATAATAGAATCGTTGGCGCTGGCGCGTGTAGTAAAACCCTGGGTCAACTACCTAATAAGGCCCGTCTACAATACACGGAGTAAGAAGTAAGAGTAAGAAATTGACCAATCACAGTCGAATGTGAGAAGAATAATCGACTGTGATTGGTCAATTTCTTACTCTTACTTCTTACTCCGTGTATTGTAGACGGGCCTTTATAGGTAAATACTTGTTTGTCACAAATCGAGCCCCGTGTTTGTTTGTTTAGGCGTCGAACGAGAGGGTACGTGATAGCTAGACTTCGACCTCTCTCTCTCTCTCTGTCCTTCCTTCTCTTTCTCTCTTTGCTCGTCTCGTTCTGAATTAGGCATCCTTTTCCTTTCGTCTCGACTCGAAAGATAGGCATTGTTGCGGGTGGTCCACGGTACATATTGTCAGAGCAGCTACCAGGTAGTATGTGCAACGTTGCCGTTTGCAATGTTGCAAGCGCGGCTTTTCTTCTCTCCTCTCCTCCCCGTAAGCCTCTGACTCTCCTTGTACGATTACCCCTCTCTTTGTACCTTCTCTTTTCTTCTCTGCATTCTCTTTCTCTCTCTCTCTCTCCTTTTTTCTCTCTTTCTTTTTTCTCAGTTTCGTTTAAGCAGCCGTAACCTCGCTCTAAAAGCCCGAACCGCCATCCTCACCCTTTGCATCCCCCCCCCTCCCCGTCCACGTTCCTCCTTCATTGACCTTCTCTGTCTCACTCTCGCTTTTTTTCATTTCCACCGCTTGTCGTTCTACAAACCCACGCGTCAAATTTAAAGGCCCCGACGCATATGCCTCCCCTGCCTCTTCCCTCCCTTCGTTCTCACTCTCGGCGATGAGTGCATTCACCGATTTTTCCCGGAAACCGGCTGCACCCGTTCTTATCTCGCGTAATGCCCGCGGAATTATTCTGGAATACAGGTCGCCCCAAAATCGGTGTTGATTCGTAGAACGTCTCGATGGAGATTTATCGCAATGCGCTCCCCCTATTTCAGAGATATTTGAGCCGGTTCAAAGAAAAAGCTCCGTGATGGAATTATTCCACGATATTGTTATACCAGTCTGAGCGAAAACACGACACACGAAAGTATCGAAAGTACGTTATTAGTACAGATGCACTCGGCGATCAAATTTCTCTGCAATATTTTACCCTCCGGAGCCAGAATCTATAAACAGTCACTAAATCTGTAAGACCAATTTAATTAATTTCTTAATTAATAGGTCAATTTATGTTAATTAATTTTATATAAGGAATCAAAATGTCATAACTCATAACTTAAAAAGAACGAATACTATAGAATATTTAAATAAAATTTCTCCATATTTTAATAATGAAATTTGCAACATAAACAAGAGAATTGTTTGACGTTTTTGACAAAGATAATTGACTGGATCCAACAGATCCACTGTCAGCGCTGGACGATTAAGAAATGTATATTTTCGTTTACGCAGTGTATATAATTCTACCGATTTGTTTCGCGAAGAGCAAGAAGAACCATTGAGAAATCTCTCGAGTGAATGTGGAACAGAGTTAATTTGCGCATCGCGAAATTTTTTGGAACCATACATGTAATTATGCAATGACTTGACGAATCCTCGATCTTCTTTCCAGGGAAAGGCTGATGGTCAGAGATCAGCGGTATGGTTCAGGGCGCGACTGCAAGATCAGCTGAGCCAGTTGGGCTACTTTCTGCAGAGGCATGCCGGAAAGGTGCTCTTCGTGGCTGTCCTCGCACTGGCGATCCTCTGCGTCGCTCTCAAGTCCGCGCAAGTCAACAGCAAGGTCGAGCAGCTGTGGGTGCAAGGTAAGTGATTGTCATGCATACTTTACATTCTTTTATCTCTTTTGTGGATGTAATATTTTGTTCTTCTCTCGCCTTTATCGATGAACATAATGTAATATATTTACAGTAAAAATACTGTACGTTCCGTTGCATTGCGAGGATAAAAGTCGTAAATGCAAGAAAAAGAAACATATAGATCTAGGAAGATAAAAATCCAAATGAAGAAATATACGAAGAAATAAAGTATGAGTGTTTTATCTTTTGTACACTGAAAAAATTTATTAAATCTTAATATATTTCTTTGAATAGTACTAAGAGAACATTTACTTGCAGTAAATAAATATTTACTTCATAAATGATAGTTAAATTAAATTAATCGTTTTCGTATCAGATAAATATATATTTATTTTTAGTAAATATTTATTTAAAACTATTTAAACAAATATTTATATTAAGAATTAATTTTTTTAGTGTATATTTTTAAATTTATTGTGTTTTGAAATAAAAATCAATCATAATTTCTTCTAAATTACTAACACAAATTATTGAAATCCGCTTTATTTACTACCGCATTAAATTGATTCGGTTATGAAATTTTTCTAAAACACGTTGTAAGATGTAACAGCAGAGGGAGATGAATCAGTATATATATATATAACAAAATCGTCGTAAGAGCATCGATTTAATTATTCCCGAACAGAGTCGATTTTTCGTATGGTAAAAGTGTGACGTAAATTTTTACACTGCGATGAGTGGAAAACGAATAGAGCGAGCAAGAAATACGAATAAATCTTCGCGAGATGGAAAAAGGAGGATGCGCTCACTACGCGAGTAAAAAGAGGGAAACGATTCGAGCGGAATCTTCCCCACCATATAGGTTACATTAGTTGCACACACGTTGGGTGGCCGCTCTATATTTACCTCTAGTCTGAACTCTGAACGTTAATTCGAATACACGTTGCTAACTTATACATGTATATCGGCGCGAGAATGAGAACAGTCAGCGAGGAAAAGTCAAACGTTTCGGAGAGAGGCGAATGTTTTTACTTTTATTTCACAAGTTTGCATAACGAAAGCATAGTGGAGTTGTTAGCTGTTTTACTGGAGCGTGAGTTCATTTGTTCATTAGACTGACAATGAAATCTGTCTAAGTGTATCAACATTCTGTATATTATATGTTCGCTCTCTTGTTGCTTGATTCTTTCGATATCATCTGAGATCAGATATACGTAATAATTTACATGGAAAAATAGTCCAAAATAAAAAAATAATTTTTTAATATTGTATTAATTAACTACTAATGCCATTGAATTAAAAAAAATTTTTAACATGGTTCCATTACAATCAGATCTGAAGGAATTAAAAGTACATGAACTCTTTTTGAGATAGTGAAACTTTCTGTTATTAATTAAAATTTTATATTTGTAAAATTCTGTTAATGAGAATAGTCAAAAAAAAAATACTCTAAAAATTTTATTAAATATCTACGTTTAAAACGCATAATAAATTATAACTTCATTCCCGGAACATAATCTTATTTTTTTAAATATACTCTTTTTGTGATTTATGTATAGTAACTCTAGTCATATTCGTTGAAATATGCGATCATACAATGTAGACAAATAAAAATAGCAATAATGTAATTGTGGATACAATTTTATGTTATATTTTATTGAGGATTTATTTAATTTCCTAAAAATTATTTAATTTTAATTTCTTATGTATTATTATATTTGTAAATATGATGACATGTCAAAAAAAAGTTGAAATTTTGAATAATTATATTGTCATATAAGTTTCAGATAACCATTAAAAATATGGTATTATGCAGATCATTATATCTATGTATATTCTGAGATTAAAACTGATATTCCTCGATATCAGGTATCTCTTGCATTTGGGATGAGTATCCTCTGTAACGAATTTTGCATTGCGTAGAGTGACGGAAGACGAGTCGACAGGGCGAATGGACATTCCGTTCGTTGGGGCTAGAGAGAAGTGCCTCGTCGATGTCACGGGTAACTGTATAGAGATTCTTTCGACGCGCTCGACTTAGCACGAAGAAACGGCGAGTCGTGTCCTGGTTTCCGATCGGATGGAAGATACAGCGGACCTCCTAGATCGCGTCGTCGGAGACTAATCCGTCCGAGCGTACCTTTCGTGACACTTGACCCCGTGAAACTTCACACCGAGGACAAGTGTTACTCTCGTCGATGTTTGTCTTCCCGGTAATAACGGTACTACGAATCGTAAATGGATTGATCGAGAACACGTACGAAATTCCGCGAAAACCGAACGTCTGCAGACAGGAATTTTTGTTGATAATTCCCGTGATAACTTTCGATAATATCGATTGCATATTTGTATGCATAATCATCTCTTTTGGATGGTTTTGCTTTAAAAATTTAAAAATTCACGCATGCGAGTAAACTTTTGGACAAAAGATTTACTGAGACGGTGTGCTGGAACGAGTAAGTCAAATATCATCAAAACTGATTTTCTTATACGAAAAGAATGATTTTAATGAAGTATCTGAAAATTTAGGTACACTGAGAAAAATGTTCTGGTTAAATAACAAAATATTCAACCAGAATATTTTTCTTTATGTAGATCTGAAAATAATTTTGTTGGATCAATATAATTACACGGGAAACTCAAGCAATGTTGTAAAAATTAGTTTTGACATTCTAGCAACCAGTTTGAGCCTGCATAATTATTTTAATCCAAAATTATTTTCGGATTTGTATTTAGCTTTAAATATTTTAGCAAAATCGCCCTTTCCTCGTGTAAGATGTAACAAGCTAAAAAGATCTTGAATGATAATTACGAATATAATGACTTAATAAGTCGAAATTTTCCGATGGAATGTGACTTCTCGGAAACACGCTTCGCGTAAAACATTCGGAAACCATTCTTTTCACCTTTCACGACCGTTCAGCGATCGGTATGCGCCCGATCGGTTCCCGCAACTACGAAAGTCGCAACCCGATCGCCGTCGGCAGTCACGGCGATAAACCCGCCGCTGTTAAGGATTTATAAGGATCGTTAAAGGAGGCGCGGAACGTTGGATTTGCGATCTGGCTCGAGGCTCGCTTCGTCTTTCGTTCTTTTTTTTTTTTGCACCATTGCACGATTGTGTGGCTTAAACGTTTATTGCCTTCGAGGAATTTATATTGTTATTAATATTGTGTGACGTGTTATTATGCACTTCTGTTACGCGACTTGCGCGGAATTGCTCATTATGCAATTATTCATATAACACTATACCAAGTTTTAATCTATGTAATTTACTCGTTATTTATAAAAATCAGCCGTCTCAAAAATTAAAATACAATTTTTTGTAACGTAATAAAATGACGAAACATTTTAAGGATACGCTGGATACGTTTGAATTGTGTCGAGAATAACGTTTCCAGTTAGAAAAGCTGAGTCCTAATAAGTTTGTCACTTGAATTTGATGATTATTTTTTTGTTTTGTTTAAGAAGAAAAAAGTAGACTCTGAATTATGTCTTAGTTTCACGAAGGGCCAGTCGTCGTCCACCGGACGCGCACTCGTGTTTGATCGGCCCTTCTAAAAAGACTGCGCCCGCATATTCCGACCGAATACGACGCGCGACGCAAGTCACCTCACGGATATCCGGTACCGATACACGCGCGTCGTATACACATCGTTACGACATCTTTACGCACGTCGACCGTCTCATAGCGTCGACCTGCCTCTGCTGGAGGTGTTATATCCCTTTACCGTCCTTCGACCTTCCCTGTCGCACGCCGGTGTCGCATAACTCTTCTTTTACTTTTCTGCCAGTATCTTTATCAATAAATAATCCAAACGACCACCAGCACCGCGTTGCGACGTGTTTGAATACATTCTTTCTTAATGTCGCAGATATTACTTGACGTTTACTATAAGGTAAAAATACTAATAATATGTAGCACGATTATTGAGGATTTAAAACTCAGCTAATTTAAGTTTAATAACATGAAATTTTGAGAATACTTGAAAAATTAAATTTGATCGTCTTAAGTTAAGTATATCGTCTTAAAATGTTAATACGGCCTCTGATTGGTTCGTGACATCTTACAAGTTTTCTTAAATCTAATATACGAATCTAATATAAAAATCAACTATGAATACCGGTGACTATAGAATCAGGTTGACATGCAAAATAATTCACTTTTTAATCTTCATCCTTTTTTAACTCTAACCTTTTTTAATTGAAAGAATTTTTTTAAATTTATTTTAATTCTATTCTTCTATCTTGTATCTATCTTTTTTTATCTTGTTTTCTTTTATCTATCTAAACTTGTTCTAAATTTTATCTTTTTTTAATTCTGAAATAAGATAAGATTTTCTTATTTTTCGAAGAAGATAAAAAGGTGAACAGAAATAGTTAAAATCTTCTATCTTTGATAGAAATAGACATTAGTAACCAAGTTACTTAAATGATGGGCAGAAACATTGTCTCGCGTTAATTTTTGATATATACAATTCAGATATAATATTACAACGGAAATCAGAATATCGTAACTTTTGCCACAATATTATCCAAATTTCAGTAACCGCACTAATATTTCGATGCTCTAAAATAAACACGATAAATCATAATTTACGGACATTATAATTTCGACATTAAACATAGTTTTTCTATTAGGAAAATTTTCTTGATAAGATTAAAAATAAATTAAAAAAAAAGTTTTTCAATTAAAAAAGGTGAGAGTTAGAAAAGGATGAAGATTAAAAAGTGAATTATTTTGCATGTCAATAAAGAATGATAAGATACGGAGAAAGAATTCGTCGTAGCCATGGCAACGGTTGTTGGACAGATGGACAGACAAAAAATTTCGGCGCCGATACTGTCTGACGCCTGAGGGAGTTGAGCAATGATCGGTGCATGCAATTGCATCTGGTGCAAGCGCGAAGTATCGGCTTTCAATCACCTGCGCCTGTACCTACAACCGTCGCGCTTTCTTTCGTTCCGAATTCGTTGCGCTATTTTCGATGCGAGAAAACTGGCACGGTGTGCGTTACCAATCGTATAGCGAAAAACACAATATCGACTCTGGAATCATATCAATGGCCTGCGTTCAGCAGAAAAAGCAGCTTTGCAACTGTTGTCAAATTCTTGAATATGATTGGTTTAGATCCATTTATAATATCTGAGGAACTAAGGGCAAGACCAATCATATTGAAGAATTTTACAACAGT